AATCCTGCAGCGTATGTTCGGTACTGACTGTCACAGTGCATGCTGTCGCGAGTTGTCCTGATTGCCCCGAAGCGTTATTTATAACGTTTTCGGCCCGACCGGGTTTGCACCAACCTGGGTTGGATTAATGGCGTTTTGCGCTCTCCTATTGGTAGAGCGTGTGACATCAACCAATAGGAAAGATTAATTCAACCCAGGTTGGTGCAAACCCGATCGGGCCGAAAACGCTATTAGATTCATCGCTTACTTAGAGGAGACGGGAGAAAGCTCGTGGATCGAAACGGAACCAACCATAGTCGCGATATCTAGCGTCCGACTGTAGCCAATCGGTGGGCTGGACAAGTCTCATCGCGGAAATTTTATCGCTCGAAACGCGAAGTAGCATCCCACCATAGCATCAGGATAGCGCCGATACCGGAAGCCGGCCGGTGCCCCCTCGAGACGTAACACCATTCTTCAGAGGGATAGCTATGATTGGCCAGTTTTATAACATCGATGTTACAACTTCGGCGTAAAGTGTGCCGTGTAAACGTAGTATATGTCTCTCTGCTCTGCGCCTTATGGCCGCAGCACATACTCTTGCATAACGCATAATACAGGGGTGATCCCGATTGACCACGGCTCGATTGAACACCATCAATCACAGCGACCGGTGCTTAGGAGCATTGTAGTCTCAAGCGCTGTGAGTGACTCGTGTCCAATTGAGCCGTGTCCAACTGGGTGCCACCCCATAATACATAGTGCATAATGGAATCAACCAATCGAATTTCTTCTTTTCCATGGAATGAGAGAAAAGAAAAATTTCGGATTAGTTGATTCGCTTATGCACTATGCGTTATGCGTTATGCAAAAGCTTGTGTCTGGGCCCTTAACTGAAGTTCAATTTGTTTCTCATCTCTTTCTAATTCGAGCATTGGAAAGAGACAATGAATAAGTTGAACCTCGGTTAAGAGTTAACCGTGAGTTGTGGCTGGGCCGTAAGCAGTAAGCGAATCGACCAATCACAATAGAGACCGTAGGACCATACGTAAGCACAACATGTTGATTTCGATAATGCTGCTTAACGTGTCGTTTACAATACACGGAGTAAAAAGTATGAGTAAGAAATTGACCAATTACAGTCGATTATTCTTCTCACATTCGACTGTGATTGGTCAATTTCTTACTCTTACTTCTTACTCCGTGTATTGTAGACGGATCTTGAGTCTAAAGGCCTGTCTACAATACACGGAGAAAGAAGTAAGAGTAAGAAATTGACCAATCATAGTCGAATGTGAGAAGAATAATCGACTGTGATTGGTCAATTCCTTACTCTTACTTCTTACTCCGTGTATTGTAGACGGGCCTTTACGTCTTAAGTTTTTCAATGTGCCATGGCCTTAAGCCGCAAATCAGAAGTTCTAAACGATCTTAAGTCATAATCGGTGAAGTTGGCCAATAGCCAACTTGAACGACTTGGTTAAGACTTGTTAACGCCCATTTCCACCAATGTAGATTAACTTTAATCTCGGTTTAACTTACTCTTCGTCTTTTTTTAATATTTAGAACTAGAAAAAGACGAAGAGTAAGTTGAACCGAGATTAAAGTTAATTTGCATTGGTGGAAACGGGCATAAGGCTTCTGACGTTCTGACTTGCGGCTTAATGTAGAAGGCCCATAATGGCCGCAGCACAGACTCTTGCATAACGTATAATGCATAGTGCATAAGGGAATCAACCAATCGAAATTCTTCTTTTCCATGGAATGAGAGGAAAGGAAAGCTTCTGATTAGTTGATTCGCTTATGCACTATGCATTATAAGTTATGCAAAAGTCTGTGCTGCGGCCATAAGGGTTAAGCAGTAAGCGAATCGACCAATCACAATAGAGACCATAGATCATACGTAAGCAATAGCGAATCCAACATGTTGATTTCGTTACTGCTTAAAGCGGGGAGCACAGACTCTTGCATAACGCATAACACGTAATGCATAAGAATATGTATCAATCGAAGTTCTCCGTTTCTTTCCCTTCCATGTAATAGAGAACTCTGGTTGGTTCAATTTCTTATGCCTCATGTGTTATGCGTTATGCAAGAGTCTGTGCTCCCCGCTTAAAGGCCGCAGCACACACTCTTGCATAACGCATAATGCATACTGTATAAAGGAATCAACCAATCAAAATTCTTCTTTTTCATGGGACAAGAGGAAAGGAAAGATTCTGATTAGTTGATTCGCTTATGCACTATGCGTTATGCGTTATGCAAAAGTGTGTGCTGCGGCCTTTAGTCTTACGTCTTAGTTTTTCTATGTGCCAAGGGCTTTAGGTATACCCAAAGACATATGGCCGCAACACAGACTCTTGCATAAGTCCGGATCTACAATAGGTGTTTTATACCTTATGCCGTAAGAAACTGACCAATTACAGTCGAATCCGAGAAGAATAAGCGACTGTGATTCGCCCATTTCTTATGGCTTAAGGCTTAAAACCCTATTGTAGATCCGGGGTAATGCATAGTACATAAGGGAATCAATCAATTGAAATTCTTCTTTTCCATAGAATGAGAGGAAAGGAAAGCTTCTGATTAGTTGATTCGCTTATGCACTATGCGTTATGCGTTATACAAAAGTCTGCACTGCGGCCAATAGGCGGCGTTCAGCAGACTCAGCAGTATTGCAACCGTTTTGTGATTCTTCGCTGTGATAGGACTATTCCTTTAAATCTAAAAGTATGATCCAATCAGTGCGATGAATCATAAAACGGTTGCAAAACTGCTGAGTCTGCTGAACGCAGTCATAGCGAATGGACTGCGCGATCCGTATTTAAGTAATGTATCAAATGTGGTCGACAATAATGAGAGAGAGAGACCG